TCCGCGGGCGGAAGCCGCTCCCCGGCGGCGTCACGTACGTCTCGCGCGGATTGGAGAGGATCGCATACTCGCCTGCGAGCGGCGCGCGCTCGTGCGGGCGGTGCGCGCTCGCGCGGGCGGCGCGCGCGCGGGTCTCGTTGCGCGCGAAGACGTCGCGCCGCCGCGCGCCGCTGCGACCGTCGTAGCGAACGATGCCAACGCCTACCTTGTTCGCCGAGCCCTCAATCCCGAGGGCTACGACGGTCTCGTCCGCCCTCAGGGGGGGCAGGTTGTCGACAAGGAACATCGACCCGGACGAGGCCCGCGACGTCGAGGCCCGCGACGTCAAGCCCAATTCGGTAGCTGTTACCCGACGGACCGCAGTGAACTATCGACGACGGACTGTTAAGCCCAATTCGGTAGCTCTTACGCGACGGACCGCAGTGAACTATCGACGACGGACTGTTAAGCCCAATTCGGTAGCTGTTACCCGACGGACCGCAGTGAACTATCGACGACGGACTGTCTTAGGTCCCGGCGGACTGTCGCCCACGTATCTTGTTGGTGCATTTACGGAGTGCACTGCAACATCAAGAATTTGTTCAAGCAGGCCGTCGGAACGCCGTAGGGGAGGCGCATCACAGGCCCGAGCATCGCAAGTTTAGAAAGAAGCGCACGCCCTCACGCGGCGTCGGCCTGGAGGAGCCCGAGGACGTCGCCGCGGCGGTGGGCCTGGATGGGCATCTTCGCGCGGATCTTGGCGATCTTGTCGAGGTCGATGTCGACGGTGACGAGCGCGGGCGACGCGTCGGGCCCGCAGTCGCCGACGACCTCGCCCCAGGGGTCGACGGCCAGCGCGTGGCCTGCGACGGCGAACGACCTCGCGCGGCGCCGTACGAGACGAGGTCCGCGGACGCGGGCCGCGCGCCGTAGGACGCGCGCTTCTCGTTGTGCGTCCCGCTCTGCGCCGCGGCGAGGACGTAGGCCTGGCTCTCGACGGCGCGCGCGCGGAGCAGCAGGTGCCAGTGCGCGGCGCCCGTCGGCCGCGTGAACGCGCTCGGCGCGAGGATCGCGTGGCAGCCGCTCGACCGCGCGAGCGCGACGTAGAGCTCCGGGAAGCGCAGGTCGTAGCAGGTCGTGAGGCCGAAGGTGAAGCCCAGCTCGTCGCTCGCGTCGACGACGACGCACGCCGCGGCGCCCGGCGCCGTCGACCGCGACTCCATCAACACTGGCCCGTCGGGCACGTCGACGTCGAAGAGGTGGATCTTGCGGTACTCGGCGCGCGTCGCGCCGGCGGCGTCGAGCACGACGTGCGTGTTGAAGACGCGGCCGCCGGGCGCGCCGGCCTCGTGGAAGCCCCCGAGACTCAGCCAGAGGCCGTGCTCGCGCGCGAGCGCGCGGTACGCTCCGAGCCGCGGGCCGTCGAGCGGCTCCGCCTGGGCGACGGTCTCGGCGGCCGCCGCGCCGATGAAGGAGAAGGCCTCGGGCAGGCAGAGCAGGCAGGCGCCGGCGCTCTTGGCTTGCCGGCACAGCTGCGACGCCGCCGCGAGGTTCGACGCGTGGTCGGACGTCGCCGTGAGCTGGCCGACGCCGACGCGCCGCAGCACGCGCGACAGTTGCGCGCTCATTGGTTGCGGCGCGCGGCTGCAGCGGTGCAGCTCTGCGATGCTGATGCGCGCGGCGGAGGCGCAGGCCTGGGCCGACTCGGAGACCTTGGCCGATTGCAAGTTGTGCACATCACCTGAAAGGTGAAGTGCAACCACCTGGTCCAGGAGGAGTCTCCACTGGACTCTCCCTTAAAAAAGCACAATCTTAGTAGTCGCTCGAGTGGAGCCACTCGTCGCCGTCGTCGCCGGCGCCGTGGCGGAGGCGGTGGTGCGAGCCGACCTGGGCGAGGCGCTTCGGCCCGAGGTTGCCGAGCTCGGGCTCGGCCTCGGCCTCGTGGACGGCGACGTGGACCGACTCCACGCGGAAGAAGAGCGGCACGGACACGACGAAGGCCTTGGTCTTGCGCGCGTTGGACGAGACCTCGACGTCGACCGTGCCGACGAACTCGCCGCCCTGCGTCGGCGACGGCTCGATGAGGAGCTCGACGTGGCGCGTGAGGCCCGGCACGAACGGGTTCGGGTCGAAGATCGCGCGGACCGCGGCGCCCGCGTCGCCCGTCTTGCGCAGGTCCGTGACGACGAGCGTCTCCGCGCTCCGGTTGAGCACGCAGATGCGCACGCCGTAGCGCTGGCCCCGCTCGAGCGTGCCGCCGTCGACGCCGAGCGCGTCGAGCGGCACCCAGTGCTGCGCCGCGCGGAGACTGCAGTAGGGCTCGAGGAAGTTGGCCATGTCCTTGTCGAAGGACGCGAGGAGCACCTGGGACGCGACGCTCAGGAAGTTGACCTTGTTCACCGTCGTGAAGTCGTCCATCTTCGGCGCCTTGGCGAGGAGGCTCAGCTGCGACGACGAGAAGACGATCGCGGCGCGCGACGCCTTCCGCGCGCGCTTCGCGATCTCCTCCTTCTTCTCCTCGAGGGCCTTGCGGCCGTAGCCCATCTCGAGCTCGCCGGCGCTCCGGAAGTTGACGTGGCGCTGCGTCTCGCGGCCCTGCGTGCGGATGTGGTGCCGGATCTTCTCGACGTGCTCCAAATCGAGGAACCGGATGAGGTGCTGCACCGCGAGCTGGGGCTGGCCGATGGCCTTGGTCGCGTAGGCGACGAGGGCGATGCGCACCAAAATCATGAGGAACTCCTCCAAATCCAGACCCGCGTCCCGGAGGCTCTGGTCGCCGTCGCCCGCGTTGCCGGCCGACCGGTTGCACTTGGCCGTCGCGACCTTCCAGAGGTACTGGAGCGTGGACTTGGACGCGAGGCGCGGCACGATCTTGAAGTCGCGGCAGAAGCAGATGAGCTCGAAGAAGCTCACGCGCTCGTTGCAGTTCTTGATCTCCTCGTACGTGAGGCCGCGGCCCATCTGGAAGCCGGGGCTCTGCAGCTTGCTGTAGAACTCGAAGATGAGGCTCAGCGACCCGCCCTGCTCCTTGGGCGGCGGCGGCGCCCGCGTCTGCGACCCGGGCACCATGCCGTCCCGCAGGTTGTACTCGCAGCCCACGACGACCTTGGGGTCCGCACGCGCCTGGATGACGCCGGACACGACCTCGTCGCCGAGGCGCCGGAACTTGCGCTTGAGCTTCCCGAAGGCGACGCGCGCCTCGGACTCGCTCGCGGGGCGCGCGAGCACGCGCTGCATGATCTCCGACAGCTCGTAGTCCGACGACATGCCACCGCCCGGGCTGCCGAGAGCCATCTCGCGTCGTAAGCCGTTGCGCTTATTACATGTTTACTTTACTTGTTTACCTCAGTCACTTGCAGCTCATTAATACTTCCATCGTTTGTGTCCGCTGCGGGCTGCCCCCGAGCGCGTCTCGCCATGCCCATCGAAGACCGAGATACGCGCTCGACGCCGGCCTCGGCCCCCGAGGAGCTCACGAGCGAGGCGCGTCGCGACGGCGGCGCGCGCGCGCTAAAAAGAGAGACGCGCGCCCCCGCTCGCAGCTGCTCGCGGCGATCACGGCCAAGGAGTACGAGCGGGCGTCGTCCCTCGTCGAGCGAGGTGCGTCCCCGTGCTCGCGCGGCGCGCGCGCGCCGACGCCCGCCGCCCGCAGTGCTGACCTACGAGCCGGCGAACGAGCTCATGCTCGAGTACCGCCAGGTGCTCCAGCGGGCGATGAAGCAGCAGGAGGACGACGACGAGGATGACGAGGACGACGACGACGACGATGAGGACGACGACGACGACGACGACTCGGAGTCGGACGACGAGGCGGAGAACGAGCACAAAAACGGCGACGCGTCTCCGAGGAAGAAACCGCTCGCCGAGGCGAACCACCCCGGTGCGCGCGCGCGGCCGCCGCCGCTCCGCGAAACCGCGCGTCCCCGGCGCAGTCGTCACGCAGGAGGAGATGGAGGCCGACATGCTCAAGTTCGGCATCCGCGGGACCAAGGAGGCGCGCGCGCCGCGTCGCTCGAGGGGGGCCGCTCGCCGGAGACGCGCGCGCGCGCGCCGCAGGAGCTCATCGAGAACCTGCGGTGGATCAAGAACAACAAGCCCGACACCGTGGGCTCGAGCCACCGCCGCGAGTCCGTGCTGCCCTTCGACGACTTCGAGTACCCGGAGCTCTCGAAGCACGCGCGCGGCGAGAGCAAGGACGCGTCCTACGACGAGGAGAAGGAGGAGGGCAAGGCCGAGGCCAAATAGGAGGCCCACGCGTGTGCTTTATGACGGAGGCGCGCGCCGCGGCCTAGGACATCGGCGGCGGGCCGACGGACGAGACGTCGAGATTGCCTGCGGGACCGCCGCGTCGCGGAACGACAAAAACGTCGCGGGGACAAACACTGCGCGAAAGACGCGGGAGGCGCGCTGCCGATGAGCGGGAAGAACAGGAACAAGCACAGGGAGCCGAAGAGGAAGGGGAACGCGATGTAGAGGCCGATGTCGAAGCCGTCGGCGCCGGACGAGCCCGGGATCAGCCCGCCGAGCGTCGCGGCCTTTTGCTCCGCCTCCGTCGCCTCCCAGGACATCATCTTGTCTTTCAACGCCGCGCTGACCTCCTCGTCCGACGGCTCCGCACCGGCGGCCGGCGCCGCCTCCGTCGTGGCGGCCTCGGCGACAGCCTCGTCGCCTTCCGCTCGTCGCAGGGACGGCGCCCGCACGCGCGCGGGCGGCGCGAAGGCGCGCGTCGCGGAGATCGCGGCGAGGAAGAGGACGGCGCCGCGCATGGCGTCGAGAGATCGCGCGACTTGCTCTGACTGAGGAGCCGTGCTGAGCAAGCCGAGGCCGCGGCGATGTTGATGATGTGTTGATGGGCAAGGTTTGCGAAGCTGCCCCTTGCGCGACGATGGCCAGCCTCAGCCTCGCGGACCGAGGCCTGAACCACGTCGAGCTCACGCATCCGCTGCACGCCTACATGACCGCCGTGGGCACGCGGCCGTCGCCGGCGCTGCGGGCGCTGCGCGCGGAGACCGTCCGGGCCACGGGCCGCATGTGGGGCATGATCTCCGCGCCGGAGACCGCCGGCCTGCTCGCCTTCCTCGTGCAGCTCACGGGCGCGGAGCGCGCGCTCGAGGTCGGCACGTTCACCGGCTACGCGACGCTCGCGCTCGCGGAGGCGCTGCCGGCCGGCGGCGTCGTCGTCACCTGCGAGGCGGACGAGAACTGGGCGCGCGTCGGCGCGCCGTTCTGGGCGCAGGCGGGCGTCGCGGACCGCATCGACCTGCGCCTCGGCGACGCGCTCGCGACCCTCGCGGGGCTGGAACCGGCGAGCTTCGACCTGTGCTTCGTCGACGCGGACAAGGGGAACTACGGCGCCTACTACGAGCGCGCGCTCGCGCTGCTCAGGCCGGGCGGCCTCCTGGTGATCGACAACGTCCTCTGGAACGGCCAGGTCGCCGACGACCGGTGCGTCGACGAGGACACCGTGGCCCTGCGGAATCTCAACGCGGCCATCCACGGCGACGACCGCGTCAGCGTGGTCATGCTGCCCGTCGGCGACGGCACGACGCTGTGCCGGAAGCGCAGATAAGCGGCGCGCCGCGGCGGGGGGGCGTCGCGCGCGCGCGCGGCTCACATGGACTGGATGTTCTGGAAGATGTGGACCCACTCGTCCATGTCCTCCTTGGAGTCCGCGCGGACCGTGAACTCGAAGGGCAGCGCGAAGAGGGAGAACTGGTTCTTCTCGTTGGGCACGGGCGTCGGGCAGTAGGTCGCGTTCATGGAGACCTTGTTCTTGGGCGCGGCGCCGTTCTGGTACTTCTCCTCGGACTCGTAGTACTCGAGGTTGTCGCTGAGGACCATGAAGCGGCGCTTCCAGTTGCCCGCGGCGCCCTGCTTGTTGCCGCCGAGCTTCTCGAGGTAGCCCGTCTTGATGATGGAGCCCGTCTCCTTGCGCACGGTGTCGCGCGCGTCCGACGCGGACGCCGCGTGCTCGGCGACGCGGAGGAACCTGCGCGGGGCGCGCGCGTCCCCTCGACGCGTGGGACGAGCGGCGATCTCTCGGAGCGTCGCGATGCCCGTCGAGCGGCGATCTCTCGGCGCGTCGCGATGCCCGTCGAGCGGCGATCTGTCGGAGCGTGTCTCACGGGGTGGCCATGTCTAGCGAAGCGCCGGGACTCGCGAGCACGTCTGCTGGAGGACCCGCGGCGTGATGGCCATGGCGAGGAACTCGTCGAACCAGGCCTTGAGGCCGTCCCGTCGCGACGCCATCTGGTCCGCCGACAGCTGGCCGAGCTGCTTGGCCGGGAACCTGCGGGCCGCGCGTCGCGGCGCCGGGCGGCCGGGCGGTCGGCGGGCGCGGGGCGACGCGCGGCGACGACATGTTCCCGTAGATCTTCTTGTCGAGGTGCGTCTGGAAGAAGAGGAAGTCCGAGTACCTGCGCGGCGGGGGTCGCCATGCCGCGGCGCGGCGCCCGCGCGGCGCCGCCGGACGCGCCGCTTCTGCAGCGTCCAGGACGCGCCCTCCTTGGCGACGGACAGATTGTAGACGTTGTACTTCTTGTCGCCCTCGGTCTTGTCCTCGACGCCCGTGAACGTCACCGTGAGCCCGTGGCTCTTCTTCGTCGCCTTCTTCATCCTCTCGGGCGCCTCGGGCTGCCTGTTCTCGTCGTCGACTTGGATGGCGGTGCTTCGGAGGCCGGGCTGCTGATGCTCAACATGTGCTCAACATTGACCTCGCAGACGAGCTCTCAGTCAAGCTTGTCGGCGGCGGCCGCGCGCGCCACCCACGGAGGACCCCGCGCCGCCGCTCCCACCCAACACCCCCGAGCCGTCCGCGCCGCCGCGCCGCCGCGGCCGCCGCCCGCGATGGCCTTCCGGAGCCACAACTTCAACGTCTGGCACCTCCTGGCGGAGCCGACGCACCGGGCGACGCTGAGCCTCGTCGAGGCGACGGAGATGGAGGAGCTCGCGCGCCTCGAGGAGGAGCAGCGCGCCCAGCTCGCGGCGATCCGCGACGCGCCCGCGCCGACGCCCATCGGCGTGAAGCCGCGCGCGGACGACGACGACGACGCGACGGCGACGGACGACCACGACGAGGAGGTCGAGGGCTCGCGCGACGACGAGGACGAGGAGGAGGAAGAGGAGGAGGAGTACGAGGACGACCTCGGGCTCGACGACGTCTCCGAGGCCTAGCGCCTCACCCCCCGACCCCGCGGCGCCGGGCGCAATTAGCAGCTTCTTAGGGCCAGGCGAGCCCGTCGAGGGCCTGGGTCCAGAACATGTTCTCGAGGTCGCAGGCCGTCGCGAAGTGCTCGGCCATGCGCGGCGTCGCGGCCGGGTCCGCGCGCGCGGCGTCCTCGACGAGCGCGCGGTAGTCGCGGACCGCGGCGTGGAACGCGTCGCCGCCGTACATGTCGATCCACGCGTCGAACTGGGGCGGCCGCTCCGTCGGCTCCCGGGTCCGCCGGGCGAGCATGGCGTCGCCGACGTGCGCGTAGACCCAGAAGCAGGGCAGGAGCGCGGCGACGCCCTCCGCGTACGGGCGCGTCGCGCAGACCCGGAGGAGGTACGACGTGTAGAGCAGGGTGTGGGGCGCCTGCCGCGGCAGGGCGCCGTCTTTGATGCCCCAGCCCGCGAAAAAGGACGCGTGGAGCGCCCGCTCCGCGCCGTCGGCGCCCGCGGCGAAGCCGTCGAGCCGCGCGGCCGCGTCGCGCGTCGGCGCCCTGGTCGCGAGGAGGCGCAGCGCGTCGCCAAAGTCCTTGAGGTAGAGCGAGTCCTGCTCGACGTAGTAGCGGAACTTGGCCATGGGGAGGCTCCCGTCGACCATGGCCACCAAAAACGGGTGCGACGCGGCCGCGGCGATCGTCGCCGACGACGCGTCCCAGAAGGACCGCGTCGCCGGCTCGACGGCCGCGAGAGACGAGACGTCGACGTCCGCGGCGACGCCGCCGCCGGCGGCGCGGAACGGCGCCGCGTGGAGCAGGACCGCGGTCGCGCCGTCGTCGTAGTGCTCGACGGCGACGTAGGCGCCGAAGCCGAGCACTACATCATAATCGCGGACGCCGAGGGCCGCAAGCATGCTCAGGATCGAGTAGTCGTGGCCGCTGAAGAACTTGAGGCCCGCGCGCGGCGCGACCGCCTTGTCCCGGAGCGCGCCGCCGATGAACTCGCCGAAGCCGCTCCGGAGGAAGCGCCGCTCCCAGATCCAGCGCGCGTCGCCCTCGAGGGCCTCGAGCGCGTCGGCGCCCGCGGCGCCGCGGAAGGCGCGCCGGCCCGCGTCGTCGTAGAGCTCCGCCTCGGCGAGGCAGTGCGCGTAGCAGCTCCAGTAGTAGAGCTGCGCGTCGCGGACGCCGCAGGCGTGGTCCTCGCCGCAGGCCGCGTAGGTCGCGTCGAGGGCCGCGCGCCGCGCTTCGGCCCGCTCGTTGAAGGCGCCGTCGTCGCCGGCCTTGAGGCCGTCGACGAACGCCTTGTAGGCCGTGCCCTTGGCGTCCCAGGCCTTGAACGTCGCCGCCCCGGAGCCGTCGTCGAGCGGGGCGTCGGGCACTTCGAGCGACGGCGCGGCGTCGCGCAGGCCCGCGAGCGCGTGGCGGCCCGACTCGACGCAGCGGTCCGCGGGCGACGACTCCCACTCGACGGGCGCGGCGGCGACGACCGCGCCGTACTTCTTCCCCAGGAACTTTCCGAGCGCGCGCATCTGCCGCCGGCCGGCCTCACGCAGGTTGTTGTCCGACCCGTAGAGGACCGCGCCGTCTTTTTCGTGCCACTGCGTGCGCACGGCGCTGTCCAGCGAGAACGCCGCGAGCTCCGCGGGGTTCGGGTAGCGCGCGCCGTGCCGGGCGACGACGCTGACGCCGACGAGTTTGCGTTGTGGTGGTGCGTCGAAGGAGGCCATTGTTGCTATCGCTGGGTCGAGGCGGGCTGTACGTCGGCTATCGCGTGTCCAATGCCACAGAGGGGTCAACGAGTTGGCGAGCAGTCGAGGTGAAGTGTGGTTGAGGCGATCCGGCGCCGCCTCGGCTCGCAAGTGCTCGCGCCCGCACCGCGCAGCAGCACTGCCGCAAACAGCGAAACACTCCCGAACCCATGTCGCTGACGGCGCGCATCGCCGCGTTTCCGAAGGCGAACCCGTTCGCCTTCAACCTCTTCGTCGCCACTGGCAAGACGTCGGCCGCGGACCTGCTCACGCAGACCGTCGTGGAGCGGAGGGGCCCCGGCGACATCGACTGGAAGCGCAACGCGTCCTTCGCCGTCTTCGGCTTCGGCTACCTCGGCGCGTTCCAGTACTGGCTCCAGGTGAACATGTTCCGGCGGTGGTTCGCCGGCGTCGACGCGTTCGCGAACCAGAGCGTGCGCGAGAAGCTCGCGAACCGGGCGGGCATGGTCACGGCGGGGAAGCAGATCGCCTTCGACGTGCTCGTCCACCTGCCCTTCATGTACTTCCCGACGTTCTACGTCGTCAAGGAGGCCGTGCAGGGCCCCGAGGGCACGAACGCCGTCGTCGACGGCCTGCGCCACTGGGTCGAGAACTTCTCCGTGGACCAGGTGAAGATGATCTCCGTCTGGGGCCCGGCGGACTTCGTCATCTTCTCCGTGCCCATGTGGCTCCGGCTGCCGACGCGGCACGTCGTCTCCTTCGGCTGGACGGCCTACGTGAGCTTCTTGCGGGGCGCGTCGCCGAGCGACCCCGTCGACCCGAAGACGGGCCTCAAACGCAAGCCCACGCCCATGTGAGATAACCTAGGTAGGATGTGGCAATGGGGACTTAGGGGCGGGGTTTCGGGGCGTCCGCGGGAGGTCGCGGGAGGCGCGCCCTCTGGTCTCAGAGGGGCTTGCTCTTCGCCTCCTTGAGGAAGGCCTGGAGCGCGTGGAGGCGCTTGTCGATGTCGCAGACCTCGTCGACGATGGGCGCGTTCGTGCGGTCGCGGAGCGGCGCCTTGTCCTGCTTCGACGGCGACGGCGACACGCGCGGCGCGGCCTCGAGGGTCTTCGGCGGCTCGGCGGGCGCCGCGGCGTCGTCGTCGTCGACGACGTGGTCGCCGAGGAGGTTCTCGGCGAAGGCGGGGCTCGGCGACCGGCGGCGCGCGTCCGACGACGCCGGCGGGCACGCGGGCGACT